TGATCCGAAGAATCACAGGAAGGTATTTGTCCTCTGAAGATCCCTCCTGGGCCTGCCTCCTCTGAGCTTTATCAGACCAGCAGAGCTGCTCTTGCCCAATCCCAGCCAGGCAGCGTAGTGCCATTTGAACATGGGTTGGTCTTGTTGGTGACATCCACTGAAATGGTGACACGGGATAGGGATATGTGGAAGGAAGAGCAAGGGATTTGAAGTCAGCATCTCAGGCCTGTCACCTTTTAACCCCGACCCTAGGCAAGTTTCTTAACCTCTCCAAGGCTGCTTCCTCCTCTGTAGAGTGGGGTTAATGAGACCTGCTTCGAGGAACCGTTGCGCATTTTAGATACCATGACGTGCATTGTTCCGAGCCTTGCTTACCGTAGGTGCTTCAGAAAGATTCCATTCCTTACATGGTTATCTCCACTGCCCTGAAATCTGGTTTAGGTTGGGAGTTGCCATACCTTGCTGTAGGTTTTGTAGTGTGAAAATAATATGACCACTGACACAAAGTTTAGAAAATGGAGGAAAATTTTGCTCATGGTACAGCCACCTCAGCCAAACCCACTATTGCTTTGCTGCATGTTTCATTTTCAAATACTTATTTTGCAGCGCCTGGGTGGCTCCGTCCATTAAGCATCCGTCTCTTGGTTTTGGCTCAGGTCGTGATCTCAAAAGAGTTGTGAGATCCGGCTCCACGCTCAGCATGGAATCTGCTTTGGATTCTCTCTCCCTCTTCCTCTGCCCACCCCCTCACTCTTTCTTTCTCTTGCTCTCTCTCGCTCGCTCTCTAAAATAAATAAATAAATCTTTAAAAATAAATAAATAAATAAAGTGCTTGTTCCTTGGAGCACCAGTCTGACTAAGTCAGTGAAGCATTCAGTTCTTGATCTCAGGGCTGTAGGTTGGAGCCCCATGTTGGGTGTAGAGTTTACTTAAAACAGTAAATAAATAAAATCTTTAAAGTACTTGTTTTTCTGTAGTAGTCACCATTGAACAGGCATGCTTCTGTTTCTGAACAAGTTTGCTCTGAAAGGTCCACTGTTTTAGGCTATAATTTCCTCTACCCTGTATCACTGTCCACTCTGCCATCTGCTTTGTGCCTTCCAGAAATATGTGGGAAGCTCTCAGCCACTAATAGACCTTCCTCCCATTCTCTTCTTTATCGGGGGCTTTCGCTTTTATATCCCTTAGTCATTTTAATGGAATCCCAGGAAGGTGGTCAGCCTACCGTCTTGAACCAGACATCCATGACCATTATTTTTAATTGCTGCTCGGTATTTCACAGTAGACGAGCCATCATTTATTTATTTGTCCCCTTATTGTGGTACAGTTGTGTTTTTTTATAGTTGTCTGCTGTTAATTTGATGCTGTGACCATCATAGTACATGTAAACTTTTGGATTTAGTTAGAAAATGTTTTCTTGTTGTAAATTTTATTAAGTTGATTTTCTCATGAGGTTGCACAATTTTTCCATGTGTCTGCAGTCTGTATCTTCATGGGGGTAGGTAGACATATAAACAGGCAGCGGGGTGAGTGTTACAGGTGTTTTCCTGAGAGGCTACATTAGATACAGTGGGTCCACCTTACATTAATTTTTTGTTCAAATGTCCAGGTTTCATGTTTCTAGCTATTCCATAGGCACCTTCAATACAGGAACTTCTGTATTTTTGCATTGCCACTGGCAGAGCAGACAAAGTGGAGGCAGGCCAAGAAGTGGTAAGGTTGACAGGGAGGCACATCACCAGGGCTGGGGTCCCTGATGTACAAAGCAGATGTTATAGCAGTACTAGTTGACCCTGGGGGCCTTTGCATCGATGGGCCCATGTTCCTGCGTGCCCATTCTGTGTGCAGCACTGTACTAGACTCAGGTTGGGGACCAGGAGAGGGTAGAGAAGAACAATATGCCCATCTCTGACCTCAGAGAGTCTACAAGCCATACAAGAAACCTGGGCTTGTTAGTGCAGTGGGTAGTCCTAAGGAGCGAGCCTGGGAGCAGGAAGGGAAGGCTGCCTAGGAGAGGAGCAATGTCAAACATGGCCTTCCTGGATGGAGAGGATTTCGGTGAGGTTCTCCGGGAAGAGAGTAGAGGCGGGAATGAGTATGGGTTAGGAGAGGGCCTCTAGCTGGAGCTGGTGGCAGAATGTCTGTTCAGAGTTGGAGGCAGGATCTGGGGGGCTGGGTGGCAGAACAAGTGCTGTTGGGAGGTCAGATGGGCGCTTGACTGGGGAAGGTTCGCCAAGGTGAAGAGCATAGGCATATCAGTCATGGGATGTTCTTAAGCCATGAAGTGTTATGGCAAGGACAGCATGCTAAGAACATTAGTTTGGCCCTGGCATACAGGCTAAACTGGGGGAAAGGAGAAACAGACAAGAGCCCACCTAGGAGGCTGATTCTGATCCCCTTGTGGAGTTGTGGAGGCTTTTAACTGGGGTTGGCTGGTGGGGAACAGAGAGGTTCTGAAGAGCAAACTACAGGATTGTTGTAGAGGATGAAGAAGACTCAGTGTCTAGGTTTGGGAGTGAGTGGTGTGGTGTGACCCTCTCCCTCACAGAGGAAGAAACATGACATGCCAGGCTGGTAAAGTTGTTTTCAAGTTCCCTGTATGGGTCGGTGGCAGAACTAGCACTGAAAGCCCGCTTTCTGCCTTCTAGTCCACTACAGTGTTGGTCGGAAGACAAAGAGGCAGGAACTAGTTGGATCTTACTTAAATCTGACATGATTAAACCCCACTGTAAATATCTTTGATTAGCTCTGACCTCACTTCTGACAATATTATGAGTCATACTTTATGTTTTGAATACCTGTGGTTGGCGGTTGTTGGTTTTAACTTTTTCAGTGTTGTCTACTAATTATCCTACCAGTTGGCTGTCCTGATGTCTCAAGTCATCCCCACTTTGCAGCTGAGAAAACAGGCATCTGAAGTGTGATACTTAAGACAGCAGTGGCTCTAGAACCCCAGCCTTGATCCCTCACATCACGCCCTCCATCGCTAGGTCCGGCTCGGTGGCCCTTAGAGCTATTGCAGTTGGTGCTGAGGCCAATCCCACTTTGAAAACTTGGATCTTGGACTTACTTTCATTTCCCTCCCAGGGAATGAGCCTTTAAATGAAGTCTGAGTGGGGAAGGAGCAGTGTGCTGTATGTAACTGGAGGGCTGAGGGAATCGGACGGAGTAAGCGAGAGATGTAGGGATGTGGCAGGGAAAGAGTCGTGTCTGCCGCAGCCTGGTTGCTGTGTGCCTTGTGCTCTCCAGAAGGTGAAGACTTATGGTCCACGTCTCATGCTTGCAGCCCTTCACAGAGGGAAAGCTATAGCTGAGCCCAGCAGTCTCTCCCTGGGTCTCCCAATGGAGGCACCAGAGGAACCTCGCCTCTGTGACCTCCTGTCACCTAACAGGCACAGACCACCCAGTGTAGCTTATTTTACTCAGCCATCACCTCTCCCCCACCAATGCTATAAATGGACCACTTGGCCCCCCAAAAGTGTGCTGTCCAGAGAGCAGGGGAGGGGAAGAGGGAGAGAGAATCTCAAGCAAACTCTGCACTGAGTGTGGAGACTGATGTGGGGCTCAGTCTTACAACCCTGAGATCATGACCTGAGCCTGATGCTGAACCGACTGAGCCAGAGCCACCCAGGCGCCCCTGCCCAGGCTTTGATAGTCTGACCCGGACTTTCCCAACTGATGTGCTGAGATATCGATCAGCCATCAGAGCAGCTGGGTAGGCCTGGGTTATTCCAGAGGGGAAGCACACAAGTACTGCATAAATATCTCTGCGTGTGCCAAGAGGTGAAAAATGTTGGGAAGCTCTGGTGTAACAGACCTTCATGAGGAAAGCAGACATCTGTTCAGTAAGAAAGCCTGGGTTGGCACAAACAGGAAACTAGACAGGCCCTGGCTGCTAGCAGGGTTTGGCCTGCCTTCTTCCCTTCTTAGGTTTCTGGGCTCCCATGGTGTGGCCGCTCCCAGGCGGGAACTCAGGTTTGCAGCCCAAGGGGGCACAGCACAGATGGGGGGCCCAGCTACATTTTCAGTGCCAGCTAAATGCTTTATTCTTGGGCACTTCATGACTTGTTGAGTAGGTGATTTCTCCTGGAGCCAGTGTTCATATTGCTTGGCCTTCCGATGCTTGGGCCGCCTTTTATCTACGTGACTGCAGAGGGGTGTTGCCCTGTCTGGTGGTGTTTGCATCTGCAATACATATTTTTCCATCACACCTTTCTGGTTTTTGTAACCAAACTGGGATAGAAAATAGGGTTAGCTTCTTTGTCTTCTGGCCCCCGTAGCACGTTGCACAAATCTCTATTAAAGGATGAGTCACAGTTATTTTAGGTTTTTTCCACATTTGTCCCTCCTACTAGAGTAAGCACTACTTGTGATCAGGGATCTTGACTCGTTGCAGTGTGGCCCCTGGATTCAGCATAAGGCCTGAATCGGACTAAGCACTTAGTAAACATTTATTGGGCGAGTGGGTGAATAGATTGAATGGCTGTGTGAGACCAGCACCTGGTTCCTGAATTAGGTACTCACACCAGCCTTGGCAGCCAGATACTCATCACATTGATGCAAAATAGAAATCATACTCCCTCTGGCATAAGCTCTCCTGGAAGCCCAGCTATCTTCCCAAGCAAGGAATGCCTATGGCTGGGTGCTGTGCCTGGTGAAGTCCTCACATCCAGCTCCTCTGTCATTGCTTGTCAACTTGAACCCTAGGGTTCAGGGATACTTCCAGGCAACCTGACTCGTGTTCGTTTGCTGTCTTTCAGGCTGATTCACCCTCTGAGTGGCCGTTCCTACCACGAGGAGTTCAACCCCCCAAAGGAACACATGAAAGATGACGTATGTAAACCCAGGACAGGAAATCTCCTTTTCCTTCCTTCCCCTTTATTCCTTCCTGTTCTTTGTTCTTTCCATCTTCCCTTTATTCCTACCAATATTATTAACCATGAGAAATAACGCCGACCAATAAATCACGTGGGCTGTGGCTCTTCTGGCTACAGAGCGACTCCCCCAGTGGTTTACTGTTTGACTTTGAGTTGGCTACCAGCACCGGCTACTTCATAGTGCCCGGTTTATACCTGTCTTTGGTCCAGAGCAGCCCTGTTCTGGTATCACGGTGACCCAAATGGTTGACTAATCTCAGGAGAAGGCTTCTTGGAAGCCCAGAAGCAGAGCCAAGCTAGGAGAACAGGACTGAAGAGAAATGTGTTGACTGGTCCTACTTCGGAAGAATGTCCCCTCTCTCTGGTGACTTTGCTGTGTCCTACAGATTCAGACTATTTGGGCTAGATTAACATTGCCAAGTGCTCATGACAGTCTTGCAGATGTAACAGGGAGGGTCTCGTAGATGTTCACTGTAACATTTGCCGTAACTAGTCCATTTCGTCTGTTTTAGAACATGCAGGCGATAGTAAGAGTCTTGTGGGTTTGCCTTTGTCACTTGAGAAAAGTTCATCAGGTCCTACAGGTTTCCAAGCCTTCGTGTCATCTTAGTCACATTTCCCACGGTTGGGAATTCTGCCATTCAGAGTTCTTTCTCACTCCGCTTGCCACTTTCAGAATGCTGAAGGCCACCACCCTAGTGAAAACACCAAAGACTTCGGTGACTAAGGTTACAATGGCGAATGCATCTCTGATTCTGATGTATTCTCCTGGTCTCGGGGGCCTCTGTCTTTCTTGCTTCTGACCCTAGAAGTGTTCACCTTGGAAGCCAAGCAACCTGAGCAGAAGCTGTGAGAGAGGGGCCTTGCCCGTCTTCCTCCCACAAACCCCCTTCCTCACGCTTTGCTGCCTCAGGCTCCCCGGCTCCTCTGGACTGGTTGGTCTGCTCCTGGGACCAACTTCCCGGGAGTAGCAAAGCTCTTTAGAGACCTTTAGTGGAGGGGATCTAGATTGTCTGCCTTTCCCTCTGATGGCCTTTGGGAGCAGATAGCATCGCAGATCTGGAAACCTTGCTAACAGTCCCAGACTTTCACTGCCCCCTTCCTGTTATCAGATCACTGGGGAACCCTTGGTCCGCCGATCAGATGATAATGAGAAGGCCTTGAAAATCCGCCTGGAGGCCTACCACACTCAGACCACCCCGCTGGTGGAGTACTACAGGAAACGAGGGATCCATTCTGTCATCGACGCCACCCAGACCCCTGACGTCGTGTTTGCCAGCATCCTAGCGGCCTTCTCCAAAGCCACATGTAAAGACTTGGTTATGTTTATCTAACGTTGGGTCCAAAAAGGAATTTCTCTCTTCCTATCCCTGTTGAGGGAGTGGGTGGGAATTGCAGAGCAGGTAGAGGGAAGCTTCCTCAAATACCATTTGTTGTACCAATTAAAAAAGCACTTGCTTGATGTATCTTTAGCGTGTGGGCAACTCTCATCTCATCTGTGTGTGTGTGTGTGTGTGTGTGTGTGTGTGTGTCATTGGTCTAAGTACATGTACACTCTTCCTTCTTTCTAAGGTACAGGCAAGGTTGCTTTATCAGCTGTTTATTTCTTTAGCCATACTCTTGATTTTTATTTATTTTTACCAAGATAACCTAACTCAGGTATCTGCCAGGCACCGCAGTGCTAGAACCTCATGGTATCTAGTCCGTCTCCAGCAGCTGAGTAGAAGTCCAGGATCACGTAAAGTCAAGCAGGGCCAAAGCTCCCGGTGGCAGATGTTGGCAGGGAATCCCACTTGTTTTCTACCCCACTATGAAAAGCCACATGAGTTCGGTTCATTTTTTCCCTAAGTGGAAAGAAAAGGCATTTATGCTACAGATCTCAGAAATAACTGGGAGAGGGTATCCAGGTAGAAAGATCCAGGCTGAGTTGGAATATTTCTGTGATATGCATCACAGTGCTATAAAGTAGGGATCATTTGGGACCTGTGTGAAAACTGAATTGTTGCCAAAGAATTGAACCCAAGTAGACGGTCCTTTTGAATTCAGACTGTGTTCTGAACATCCCAGGCTGGGCATCTGAGAGCAGCCAGTCCACTTCCCAAAGAGACCAGGGTAGGTTTGTTTTCATTTTTAATGTTTGCCTCCCTTTGCCAAGTATGAACAAAACAGTGATTTGGAGGTGATCTATTCTTGGCCTCGTTTTCATTCGACTTTACTCAAACCCAGTCTCTCCAGGATATGAAACCCCAATCAGATGTGTCTCTTTTAAACTCAGACTCTGTCCACAGACTCCCCAAGAAAAGATCACCCAAAATAAGATCATCTATGACAGTAACCAGCTTTTATTCCTAACTTTAGCTCCCCCAACTATTAAGCATTTCGTGAGGTCCATGTTGTGCTGTTTGACTTGTGGCAAACAGATGAATTAATAAATAGACTGTTGGGAGAGGCCACAAAACGGTGGCCTCTGGAAAAAAACATTGGAAAACCAGTGGCAGGCCCAGTAAATAAATGCCGCCTGCCCTAGCATAATCTGCTGACTTGGTGCAGAGGGCTCTAGAGTCCCAGTCCCCGTCTGACCTGAGTCTCCTGCTGTCTGTGGAACTGTCAGAGGGCTTGTCCCCCGTCCGCCTGGAAGCTGGGCATGGGTACGTGGCCATCTTCCTTCCCTTTGATCTGGTTCAAGTGAGCGTCTGCTAGTTCTGCTCTGCCTTGCTTCCCTGCCTGTAAACTAACTCCGCCCATTCTGAACAGAAACCTAGTCTGGTGTGGGGCATTTCTGGGAAGCACATGACTTCAAGGAAGAGGACTGAAACCAAAACTATGAGCCGTGTCTGCAGGGGTCTGGAGCCCCTCTCTGGGAGAGGGAGGCCTCACAGATCCTGGAGTCCACTCCCCTTTCACAGGGGACAGTTGCAGGCACTTGGCCTCGAGGTGGCGGACGTTGACTGTTCGCTAATTGAACGTGTGTGATCTTTGCCCGTCCATCTACATTCACGTGCGCATATTTGGGCTGCTGGTGAACCTAGAACGTGCAGGATGCATATGTCCTTTTGGAGGTGGTCAGGATTTAGATTTTTGTTTCGTTTGATTACACAGCCTTAACCTCAGCAGGATTGAGAGCTTTCTCCTGACAGAAATGTCCATTGTCTGTTGCATTTGGTTGCTGGGGCATGCATGCCAGCCTTCCTGTTATTTACTTGGTTTTTAAAAACCCGTTTTGTTCTCTCTTGTTTCCTCTCTATTTCAGCCTAGTAACAGAAGGCCAGGCGAGACTGCACCACTCTTCATCACCCCGCGGCGTGATCCCTGCTCTCTAGGTGCTGGGCAGAGGGGAGGGGTGGTCAGGGTGAGGATGGAGAGGGAGGAATGAGGAGGGCCCAAAAGGAGTAACGAAGAGCAGCACTGTGGTAGTGAGGCCATCTCTTTCACACGTCCTAGAGGCGTCTGAGAAAGTACAGAGGAGGGGTGAAATTAAAAAAAAAAAAAACACATTAAAGGCTGTAAATAGAAATAGGGAGGTGCAGTATTGTTTCTGAGGAATCCAGTTTCATTTACTGTGGATTGGTGACAATATATTTTAAAGCCAAATGCCCTGAGACCTCAGTTTTTATCTCAGAGCCTCATGGGTTGCCAGCCTAAGAATGCAGGAAGTCAAACTGTTGTTCTGTCTTTCTGAAAGCTTGGAACAGGGCGGGGGTTTGACTCCTGGCCCTGGTTCTCTGCACCATGAGACAAAAGATCATCTCCACGTCATAAAGAGATGGGGTGGGGGGGGGCGTGTTCATGGGGGCGGTGGCTCAGCCAATCACGTTTACTGGAGTTGTGGGGAAGGCGAGGCTGATCTCCCTCCTAAGGACACACTGCTGTTTGCCGGTCCACCCTTTCTCATGGGTCAGCTCCCAGCAGCCACCCAGCATCCCTGCACTCTTACCATCTTGCATCCACGATGTGGGAAGGGACCCTTGTTAATAAACGAGCAAGTGTCCTAAGCAACATAATCCAAAGATTGTCCTTTCCATCCTCAAATCCTGTGACTGGGATCACTCGTCAGCACTGTGATGTATTATTTTCAATGAGGTGCCTTTCTTAACTGACCAAATGCTGCCTTGTTTGGCCCCTAAATCAATAAAGTATGTTAAAAATTTGTATCCCCTGTTGTGACATTTTCTTGAGGGGATCTGGGCTAGGAAAAAAAAAACGGCATTGAATTCTGAATCTGGCTTGGAAGCCCCTTCTTGTCACTAGAAGTCACAAGGCAGGGAGGTCCAAAGTGTGTGCTCATAAGATGAGCCACACCCTCTTGAGCCTCAGTTCAGATGCAGGCAGGACAAGGCAGCTCGGCTTCGTGGAGACCACGCCGTGCTTGGAGCTCAGAGGAGGTGTGAGGAATCCCGGCCAATCATTGCACTGTGCTTGAAGCACAGAGGAGGTGTGAGGAATCCCGCCAATCATTTACTCTGCTCCTGTTTCCTTGTCTGAAAAAAGAGGGGTGTGATGCCACCTTCTCAGACTTGTTGGCATTAAATGAAGTTTATAAAAAGCAGCTTTGTGCTTGGCGCCTGGCACACAACAGACACTTGATAAATGTTAGTTAGATCCGAATATATACAAAAATATCTGCTTCGTGCCGGGCTGGAGAATTATTGAGTGGACAGCTGTCCACAGCCGAGAAAGCCAGTGCTTCTCATCCCTAGCCAGATTTTTGGCTGTCTCTTTAACACTCCTGGTTGCTTCTTTATAAATCCATTTTTTGCTCAGCCAAAGAGCCAAGCTGAAGCTCTCAGGCTCTTTGGAAGGACTGCCTCTGCAGGTTGGTTTCTGAGAAATGACTGCTGTTCCCAAAACCAGAGGAAGCCGGCCTGGGAGCACCGCTGTCCTTCAGGCTTTCTTGTTCTGGAGACATCCAGAGTGGTCATGGGCATGTTAAATGCCACTTCTTGAGCCAGCGCCTCCCTCTGCTTCCCCACCTCCCCAGCTCCACAGTCATTTCCGGTGCCAACACGACTGACTCACTCTGATCTTTCCGTTCCCTAAGCTGTTTAAATGCCCCATGAAAGCATTCGTCCCTTCCTTGATCATCATGCAACAAACTGGGGGGACAGACCCGTGGACCCAGCCCAGGAGGCCGCTGAGTGGTGTGGTGGAGAAGAATGGCCTGAGAGGAGACCGGGAGGCCTCTCGTTCGCGTCTTTCGGCTTGGTGTCCTCATCCGGAAACTGACTGGAACTGCTCCCGTGCCTGCAGCACTGACAGCAGGCCAGGTACTGCACACGGGCCTCGTAGCCAAGACCTTCCGGGGCCCTCCTGGGACACCCGGGCGGCTGGAGCTGTCCTCCCGTCTTACAGGTGAGGCGATCAAGGCCTGGAGCGGCAAGGTCACACAGAAGAGGCCAAGGCGGCACGCCGAAAGCAGTCTCTGCCACCCGAGCCTGTCTCCTTGACCTTGTCACTGAAGTGATTCAGCGACTTGGGCAGCTCTCCAGTAAGACGGGCCCCTCCCGGGTGCCTTCTTGTTCGTGGCCGCTCACTGCCAGTCTGAGGACCCGGGGAAAGTGTCCCAGGCTGTCTTGTGGGCACAGAACGTTGCAGACAGAACGAAGGGCAACCTTGGCGCTCAGGAGGCCTAGCAGTTAGCCTCAGCAGTGTTTCCTGGGAAGACTGCTCAGTGGGTCAGAAGACAGACTCCTGCCACACCTCCTCCACCGTGAGACCCCGGGCGAGGTACCTCCCCGACGGTAGAACAGAAATGGCCGCTTGCCCCTCAGGTGTGCTGGCAACACCGGTGGCTGGAATCCCGGCACACCGCAGACGCCCGCGATGTTGCTGATGGCCTGCAGAGAGGAAACGCAAGCCTTGGCGACAGCCCTTGAAAGTTATATGCAGAATTCCGTATTTTTGTATTTTCCTAATTACTGATCGTTTCGCGTGACCTTACGCTTACTGGATGATAGGCCCTGCGTCCACGCTGCCACTTCTGGTAAGCCTGTGGGAGTGAGCGCTGGCCTTATTCCCGCGGGCCGCGGGCGCACTTTGAGGCTCGTACACCCGGGAGCGGCAGGAGCCGGGAACGCGCCCGGCCGTGGCTCCACACCCTGGCCTTCCACCGCTGCTCCATGGCCTTGACGCTCGGCTGGGAGCAGGGAAACCCTCTGAAGGCACTCGTGATACAGCGGCGTCGACAAGCCACAGATCGGGATGAAAGGAGAAGAAACTCGAGGAGGCTTGCCTGGCACGGTGGCGGACCCGAGTGGGGAGCGCAGCCTCGGGTAAGACCGTTTTCGGTTTCATCCTTCTTTTGTTTCCCTGCTGTGGGAGCTGAAGCTCCAATGTGCTGGATTCGCAGAACTCCAGGAACCACTCCTGTTCCAGGAGGCCAGAGGAGCAAGTTACGGGGGGAGAGAGGAGTCCGTTTTCCCCGCCAGTACATTCTGGAAAGGGCGGCAGCAGGAAGGTGTCTACACTGGCTCCACGTCACAGCCATTCCTTTTGGACCGAAGCCCCACACAGCTAATGGCATCGAGGAATTCGTGATCCCGAGGGACCGCTGCCCTGCCAACACCTCGGGGACATGGCAGCTCTGTGTTTAGAGTCCTGCAGGGCAGTGTGATGATGAGCTTCTCTCACAGAAGACCCCTTCGGGGCACCCAGGCAAGAGGAGGAGCCCCCAGCAGAGAGCAGGCCTGAGTGGGGAGGCAAGGTGGCAGACGGCAGGGGCAGGGCCAGGTCCTGTGCACTAACCCCCCGACTGAACGGCTCTGCACTTTGGGGGTAAAATTGCCATGGGGCAAATCATTACGTTATGTAGGGGGTCCCCCAGATAAAGACTCTGGGGACAGATTTCTCCAAGCTTAGAGCTAGGAGATCATTTTGCTTCCTGTTTAGTTGGTCTGCATTCTGCTAGGTAAGAAATGCTTCATTTTCTACTTTTGCTTTTTGCCCTGGCTGTGAGGAGACCGCTTGTGTTCGATGCTATGCTTTCTTCTGTCAGGCTTTCTTAATAAAATTCTCCCCCACCTCACCCAACCTCAGTCATTTTGTTTCGTGTTAATGTGTCTGGACATGTCTTGAGTCTTTCCAACCGCCTTGAGTCTATTCCAGGAAAGAAGTGGGGGGTAAAGAAAGGGCTACTACGTGGTACGGGAGGTGAGACTGCAGAGAGGATCTGGTAGCTTCGAGGCAGAGGGGGTGGGACTGGGGTGGCTCCCCGCAGAGGGCAGGGCATTCCCGGCGGAGGCCTCAGGTACTAAGGGCTGCTTTTACCTAGTGAACCCCTAGGGTGCTTGGAAACCGTGGTTTTCAAATGAAGCATAGGGACAACAGAAGGGAATTTTTTCCGCTCAAGAACCTGGAAGAGCCAGAGACAAGGATATGTACACAGAGTTGATGGCCGCTCTAAGTTTGGCCCTCATGCCATATTTGCCACCTCTCCCGAACACACGGCATCAGTGCTTTGACCGTGAGTTGGGTGACCCTTTGCTGTGGTGGGACCGAAAAGAAGGGAGTCTCTTGGTGTTACTGTCAGCTCCGTGTTCAGTCACATGCCTAGTGATGTGGTCATGGGTTCTGCAGTGACAGAGATGACCTGTGGTTAGATCTAGGCACTGACATAGCTCGCCACTTGCCTTGGGAGCCGCTTAACCTCCAAGCCTCGGTGAACTCATCCGTAAA